CTTACCTCTTAAAAGTTTTTGGGTTTACATGTTTTGTTCATTATTTTAGTCCTAGTCTTGATAAGTTATCTCCTAGATCACACAAATGTGTTTTTTTATGATTTATTCGATCACAAAAGGATATAAGTGTTTCTCTCCTTTTTTTAACCGTTATTATATTTCTACAGATGTCACCTTTTAATGAGTCTCCTTTTACTTTAATTGTCCTTCTTCTCCGTGTGTGTCCCTGTCTGCTACAATCAATATTCTTGTTGTGTGTGATCCTTTTTTTGTGCCTAGTCCACCTTCGAATTCTCCTCTGTCACCACCACTTCAAGTTTATAATCGAAGACAGTGATCCCAACAACCACCAAATGACTCACTTCTAGTGTCAACTTCTTTGTCTCATTTGACTCCAACAACTCAATTTGACATTCTAATTGCCCTCCGTAAAGGTATACTTCTACCTGTATTCTCTTTCCTCATTATACTGCTTTGAGTTACCATAGATTATCTCCACCTTTTTATACTTGCCTTTCGTCTATTTCTTCTGTGTCAATTCCTAAATCCGTAGGTGATCCCTTAGCCCATCCTGGTTGGCATCAGACCATGCTTGATGAACTGACTGCTATTTAGAATATTGAAACTTGGGAACTCGTCCCATTACCGCTTAGGAAATCTGTTGTTTGTTGCAGGTGAATTTTTGGTCCTGATGGTACTAGGCATGATAACGGGGCGAGGTGGGGATGGGGGCAGGTTTTGCCTCCCCGACCCCCGCCTCTGACTTTTTAACTGTCACCGTCCCTGCCCCTGATCCTTGTCGAGGTTAGAAATTAAGTTTCCATTCCCATCTCAGTAGGGTTTAAGGTTTCCCCGCCCTCTACCCCGACCCGTCCCCGTTCTATTGTATTTTTTTAAAGTAATTATATATAAATTAATTTTAATTTTTTTACATTTTATTTCTTATAAAAAATAAATATAATTTTATAATTTTTAGATTATTATTGTTGATTAAGTGTATATTTTAATTTATTATATTTTTATTAAAATATTTATGTACAAAAAATATACTTAATCATTCTTTTTTTCTTCCTATTATAAACTACCAATCCTTTAAAACTATTAATCCTTGAAAAAAATATATAATAAAAACAAGTTTCAACTAATGATCCTTTTAAAATAATTATAAAATAAATATTTAAAAATACTAATAAATATTTAAATAAATTTTCTCGGAGAAAATAATATAAGAAAATTTCATAATAGTGCATATAACTATACAAAACAATGCATATAAGAAAACTGTAAAATCTACTAATAATTAAGGAAAACAGAAATCAGTTGGAGAAATATTAAAAAGTTTACTAATTTTAATTTTTTCTTCACAATTTAAACTACTAATCCTTCAAAAGATATACTATAAAAAAGTTCTGAATAGCAAATGTTGGATAATCTAATGATCATCTTCCAAATGAGCAAGCAATGTTAATGTTTATCAATTCACCTACATAATTTTAAATAAATATAATATTGAAAGGAGAAATAAATATTGAAAAATAAATAAATAATAATAATATTCTTTGAATAAGTAAAATAATATCTTTGTCACTAGAATCTATCTCATTGAATAAAGTAATTAGTCATCAACTAGTTGAGAATCCATACCACCTAAAGATAAAATATAAAGAGAATACTTGTTAAAATCTAAAAATACAAGCATTAATATATATTTAAGAAGGTATATAAAATATTAATGTTGATGTTAATCTTGTAGCCTAAATTTCATCAAATAATTTGAAATTAAAGGAATGTAGTACTAGGGTTTGTCTTAGGTCGAATCTCGAGGAGAATTGCTTGATTTTGTTTCAAATCTTTCTTTTTAATGTCAAAAGTTAGGAAATACAGGGTGTTTTTTTTTATTTTAGATGGAGAAAAGTAAATTGAGAACAATAAACCTATACTATGAAAAATAGTAAATGAAAACATATAAATAAAAGCAATAAATCTAAACTATGAAAACATTTAAAGAAAATATTTAAATGAAAGCAATAAAGAAAGCATGTAAATCTAATCTATGAAAGTTGTGGATTAAGAATAGTGAAAAAACTGTGTTGATTCTCCAATCATAAACTTGCTTTTATGAGTATCATCGATTTCTATGAAACTATTTTGCAATCACAATAACCAATCCACAACAGTTCCAATCAATTATAATCCATTTGAAATTCATATTCACAAATCAATTTCTAAATCAAGCAATCACTTAAACCTAGAAATTGAATTCTGATGTACAAGAGACATTCAATTAACTAATCTTAATTATATTGATTGCAATGGATTATAATTGGTTAGAATAATTAAAAATCAAATTTAAACCATAGAAAACAATTTCTAATCGGTGAAACAAAAAAAAATGAATTAGAACATGAAGAACAATTGAAACATAAAGAACCATATGAAAACAGTAAATAGTTGAGTGGAAGAACTTGAATTGATAAACTTCATTGCATTATTCATACAAGAACTCCATGAACAGACTGGAAGCTAAGCATCACTAAAAACTAGAGAAACTTGTAAATGAACTTGTGACTAAAACTTAACTTATATTTCTACACCTTCGAAGGTCTATTTATACAACAACAAAGACATATGAAGCATTCAATGCTCATTCGAGGTCCATAATTATAAAATAGAACTCAATACAACATTCTACAAAATTTAAAATTCGACTCATCCACTCAGCGATCTCCCATCCGCTTAGCAGTCTCCCATCTGCTCAGCAGATTTGCAGTTCAATTAGTTACATGAGATTTTGATGCAATCCGCTCATCTGGAAGTGTGGGCACTGGTTTAGCAGCTAGAATTTTGGTTGTTGTCATAGATTCAAGAACTGAGTTAAAGTTCTTGGTGTAGATTGTCTGTTTGCAAACTATTATTGTAATCAAACAAATTCTGATTAATGGAACTCAACTGGAATTTGGTTGAGAACTGGATGTAGCTCGATGGATTGGGTGAACTAGTATAAAACTTGGTGTTCTTGCTCTTCTTTCATCTCTTTCTTTCATTCATATAGTGCTGGTTTTTTGTTCAAGAATTGATTAGATTTTTCAATCTTTGAAATTTATAGTTTGTATTGAAAAGTTGCAAAAAGTTTTTGTTTAGATCAATTCACTCCCCTATTGATCTTAGCCTATATTTCTAGTACACATGTCTCATGTTATAGCCATTCTTCCTTCAAGGTTATCCAATGACTTCAAAATTATTGATTTCTCATACTTGTAGACTTTGAATATTTCTTTGTTAATCGTATTTCTAGAAGGAACTTGAAATACTAGTTGGAGAGCATATGAGTATCTCTTGAAACCAATATGATCTACAGCTGAAAGTGGATGTTCATGCATAATAATTACATGTGCAAGTTCTTTCCTTGCATGCTCTACATCTTAAATTCTTATACCAAAATCTTGTTTATCTTGCATAACTTTAGGGGTAAGAAATGTTTCCCCTTTTTTCCCTTTTATAGAAATCTTGAATTGAATACAACTATCATTGTGTTGCCATAGGTGTTTTGTCCCATTTTTTTATTTTCCTCCCAAAAGTTTCTTACAATAATTGCATTGAGCCTTGTCCTCTCCATTAGCTTGAATCTTTTGAAAATATTGTCAAATCTTACTTTTAAATCGATTTGATCCTGATGGTATAGTCTCATCATGCTTATTATCTCCAGTTATTAGTGAGACTTCATTTGGTGTAGGAGTAAGACCAGCGAGGTTAGGATTTTCTTTTAGCAATGGTCCCTGTGTACTTGCTTGTGTTGCTTCATTATTTTCCATTATATAAAAAAAATGCCTACCACCATAAACAAGATATGTATTATTTATTGCCTAAATATTTTTTCTTCTCTACCATGTTTTCCTCTGTTTATTTTTTTTAAAATAAGACTTACGTTGTACTAAAAGATAAAAAAATATAATTATTTAATTAACATAAGATTTGATATATGATAAAAAAGAATAATAAAACTCAAAAAACATTATATAACGAAACTTAATAGAAACAAACTAGAAATAAAATGATACTATGATTGATGCACATATTTAGAAAAAGATAAATAAATAAAATATTACCTTATGTGTTCGATAAACTAGTTGAAGCTATTGGAAAATCGATTAGAGAAGTCAAACTAGTTAAAGAGACAAGAAAAGCCAACTAATTAAAGAATTTAAGGAAAGGTAGAGCAATAAAAGGCGAGAGAGAAAAATGTGTGTTGAATTGAGACTACTTGTGAAGAGATTGAAAAAAACAAAGAAATTAAGAATAGATGGATGGAAGTGAAGTAAAGTGAAGGAACACATTACGTTATATGAGAAGACAAAGGATAATGTAAGACAAAGGATAATGTGAGAAGACAAAGGGTAATGTGAAAAGACAGAGGGTCAAGTCGAACCCGATTTCTTAAAGCGGGAAAACCCGATCCTGGTCAATTCGGTTTTTCCCAGTCAACCTCGAGACGAGGACGGATCAGTCTCCACGAATACGAGTTTGATTTCCATTCTTATCCAAATTTCCATGTTGGAACAGATTTCATTGCAAACAACCAAATCCCTGGCATTGATTTTACCACAGTTCACTCATACCCTGATCAATGGTGTGCAATTTTACTTCCATTCTTGATAAAACCTCACAATGATATCAAATAATAACACAAGAAAAAATGCATTTAGATACACTCCATTTATAAATATATTGCTAGAATTCTTAATCGAGTAAATGGTGTATGCTACCAAAAAGGTTTATACAGTATCATTCAATCACAAACTGTCAGTAGATGAAAAAAAGTCCAAATTCCCCCAAAAATGAATTTGATTTCTACCATATCATTCAATTAGAAACCATCATGCTCTGTAAAATTATTAATATTTATAATAATGTTACAAAAATCTTACTAATAATAACTCTTTTTAGTGTTGAAATTAAGTTAGATTCTTATTTTTCATGATAATGCTGAATTGGGCAAGGTTATGAGCAGGTTACCAGGATCAAGCAATGAAGAGCAAATCTTATTTTTGGTTCGTTGGCTGAACGACCACATAAAAGATGCACAGAGTATTCAGAAGCCAGTTCTCTTTGCTGAGTTCGGGGTAGCAACAAAAAACATGAGCACTGACTCAACAACAGTAAGGGACCAATTTTTCAACTTGGTGTATTCTGCAATCTATTCATCAGCAAGTGATAGTGGCGCAGCAATTGTACATGAAGGAAATAGTTATTACACAAACAAAACATAAAATCAAAATAGCTACCAACACTTTAGGAACTCCAAGAATTAAACCAAATGATGTGAAACTTCCTAGCCCCCTTTCTCCATAGATGTGCTTGCAGAAACATGTTGGAAACAATGCTGATATCACAGTTTCATGTGTACCCATGGATGAACGGTATATATATATATATATATATATATATATAAGAGAAAATAGTATATCTATTAATAATAGAGGGAATTTTTACACTGTCAATCAGAAATCGTTAATAGTTATTTATATCAGAAATCGTTAATAGTTATTTTAGAAGTTATATCTAACATGATTTTTGACTGGTGGATGGTTTGAAAACTTTTACATTGACAATGGATAGAAATCAATCTCCATGGAAAATCTGTGAAGTTTGGTTTGATTACAAAACAATTAAAGGCAAACCACCTTATTTACTTGCTAAAAGAAAAATGTCTTTCACAAACAATAAACATATTTAGTTATATATTGCTGTTGGAGTTGACCAATGTTAGCTATCTTGCAGCCGTGCATCAGAGTATGGGCTGATGAAAATTGATAGAAAGGGTCGGATTACGCAGTTTTTAGAAAATCCAAATGAATCAGATGTGAACGCAATGGTACATTAGTTGTCCCTTAACTCACATTTCACACCCTTATACTCAATAAAATATGAATTGTTCAAAGCTAATTAAGTGTCACCTTTAATAACTGCAGCGTGTTGATACCAGTGTCTTAGGCTTAAGTGCAGAAGAAGCAGAGAAATATCCTTTCATTTCTCCCATGGGTGTTTCTGTATTCAGAACTGAGACCCTGCTGAAACTGCTAAGGTTGACCTGTCCTTCTGGCAATGACTTGGGATCTGAAATTATACCATCTTCTTTGAGGGACCACAAAGTCCAAGTGCGAGCGAATCCAAGCCATGGAATTGAATGCTATTTTGCTAATGCAATAAAATTCTTTTCAGTTCTTGATGCTTTTTGTTTCTATTTGTATTTTCAGGCATATATGTTCAGGGACTATTGGAAGGATATTGGAACTATCAAGTCCTTCTATGAAGCTAATCTAGAACTAACAGAACAGGTTTGTATCCTCTATGTTTAATACATAATTTGAAACTTTGTTTCAACTAATTTGGATTGTTTAGTGCAACTAATTAGCCAGGAATGAAGCTTAATCATAATTCAATTTAAAAACATTAGAATCTTTCACTGTTTAGAAGACTTGAAGCAGTATAGAGTCAAGTTTGTGTTGCTAATCTTGATAACAATGGAGTTGATAATATTTGAAGAAAACAATGCTATTATTACATATTTTCCATGAGGAACAGTCTAGTACGTTTACTGATCACATTCTTTATTCTTTGTAGTCTCCAAAATTTGAATTGTATGACCAGGAGGCGCCTTTTTACACTTCCCCGAGATTCCTACCACCCACTAAAGTAATAAAATGCAAGGTAAGAGTAAAAGTTTTACTGGCTTGCTTTTCTTATGTTCTTACCCCGAATGAATATTTGAGCTTGGCTTTTGCACATTGTGGACTCAGTTATTTCTCATGGTTGCTTCTTGAGTGAGTGTAGAATTCAACATTCTGTTGTTGGTGTGCGCTCTCGTTTAGAGGCTGGTTCAGAGCTTCTGGTAAGCTTGATACGTTTTGTACTTTTCTCTACATTATGAATTATTATACTACCTAAAATTGAAAATTGGTGGGGTAGGAGGAAGTGCATTTTGCATTTCTTTAGCCATAGCCTCAAAATTTCAAGAGTTTAGTACCATTTTACCCCTCTCAATTAACACTCTGGCTACTGCTTTTGCCTAATTGAAATTGCAGAATTTGATTAGTACAATTATATTTAAACGCTAATAGATTATATATATAGCATAACATTTAGTAAGTAATGGGGCTGATGTGATGCTTGTACTTATGGACCTTGCTATGCAGGATACCATGATGATGGGTGCTGACTTATATCAAACTGATTCTGAAATTGCAACTCTGCTGGCAGAAGGAAAGGTTCCAATTGGTGTAGGAGAAAATACCAAAATCAGGTGCCATGATGTCACTTAATGAAACCTTCCTTAGTCATATAGAACAAAATAATGCAAGTTATACTCATAATTACATGTCACAAGTTATGACTTCTATTGGGAAAATAACATAAACTTGATTAAACCTTTGGAATAGTTGGTTCATTACATAATTTAGACGAAATGGTCTAGAGTTTGATCCTTGACTTACTCTAATTTATGCTGATTTCCAACTCCAAGGAATTGCATAATTGACAAGAATGCCAAGATAGGAAGAAATGTGATTATTGCCAATGCTGATGTAAGTGCTACTTCAAAACTTGACTACGGAAATATGGCATTTCATTATCCAACATTTGTTTCCTGATTTAGTTGCGACGATTCACAGGGTGTTCAAGAAGCAGACAGACCTAAAGAGGGATTTTACATTAGGTCTGGCATCGTAGTTATAGTGAAGAATGCAACAATTGAAGATGGAACAGTGATCTGAAGGAGTTGGTGGCAGAAAGGACAGTAGATTGCTCCATTGTATAGTACAAGTTATGTAGGAACTCTTAGTTTCCGGATAAAAAAATTCTGTTGCTTTGTTTCAGTCAGAGATTCTTTTGTATGCTCATGTTACTATCTCCCTTCCTAAACTCGAGATTTAAAGTTATTGCATAATGCTTAAGAAGCACATAACATTTTTGACAAATGATATGCAGCTTTTTGGTCAATGTTACTGTTAGTAAGATGGTAAGCATATTTGAGTTAGTTAATTGCTTTAGGTGTTATTTGGATATAAATAGGGTAAGAAGGATATGAGAAGAGAGTTCATATTTTTATAAATTGAGCATTAGCTCATTATCAAAGGAGAAATCCTTTGTAAAGGGAAAACCCTTAGAGGAGAGAGTGTCCCTCCTATTGCTTGTTCTTTTCATTCTATTTAATAAAAACAGTTTCTTTTCTTTTTCTGTTCAATCCTTGGTTCTAACAGTAAAATATTATATATTGCATATCCATATCTAATTAGAAATATGATAAAATAAGAAGTTTCTCAAATTTTAACTTAAAACCAAATTTAATTATTTTAAGTTCAACTTTTGATATAATATAATTGATTATTACAGTAAACTTCTCCAATTTGACAGACATCTATGGAGAAAGGGGGCTAGGAAGTTCCACATCATTTGGTTTAATTCTTGGAGTTCCTAAAGTGTTGGTAGCTATTTTGATTTTATGTTTTGTTTGTGTAATAACTATTTCCTTCATGTACAATTGTACATAGACTTAGCTCTCTGTATATTCTAAGCTCTAAACATTTTCAATTTACGAGCCTTTCATTTCTTTTATAACTCACTCCTCTTCAACACGTGTGTATGGGAATTTTATCTGACATGGACATTTCATGCACAAGTAATGTATAAGATTAATAGGCATTTTATTGTTAACTCATCTTGTGGAGGGTATAACACGTTCGTATCTCCATTCACAAATAATATTACAGAGTCTTCAAGATTTGTCTCAGTCTTTAACTTCCCTAGCTTTATTCCACTGCTTGGAATTCTTAACTCTGAAGGATTTCTTCATCCTGATTCTGTTTAGCTTTTGAGACTCTTGAGCAATCAAAGTAGCAGTTGAGCAAGTATCATCTAAGGGCACTTCATAGCCATCTCTAAAAGAATCCATTCCTTCTGCTAGAAGTTGCCAAAATAAGCCACCAATTGCTGCGCTACTATCACTTGCTGATGAATAGATTGCAAAATACACCAAGTTGAAAAATTGGTCCCTTACTGTTGTTGAGTCAGTGCTCATGTTTTTTGTTGCTACCCCAAACTCAGCAAAGAAAACTGGCTTCTGAATTAATAGATGCCTAAAGCTTAATATTAATATCCATGATTGTCCACTTCTTCCTTTTAACATTTTCATTATGTTGGGAAGCATATCTGGTTGGCACTTGATGATGAATTCTATGTTGCTTGAAGAAATTTGTATAATTGAAGTACTCTTGGACATTATCTATTTTTAAAACATTAATTTTGCAACCACTTTTCCCCCACAAATTCTATGAATGTCTTTAAGGCATCACAAACTTTTGATTTTTGTTTCAAGAAATACACTTAAGTTTTTTTACTAAAATAATTAATAAAAGTAATGAAATAACCATTACCATCATGAATTGGAATCCAACTGTACACATGTCTCAATGTACAATCTCCTATGACTTTCTCATGGATATGATTCTCTATGCTTCTTTCCCTGTTGGGAAGTCTCACAGCATTATACTACTAATAAAGTTGAGATCTCCAACACCATTATCCTTGTCATTCAAGTCTCAAAATTATATCATTTGCACCTTATTTATCTTATCAAGATAAATATTGACAAACTAGTCTATAAATTGGAATATAAAATAAACAAACCCAAATGAAAAAAAAAAATAATAATTGTAATATCCAGGTTGTTTTTGTTTTATCTCATCAGCACAATCATACTCAAATTAGTTCTATTGCATTTTTTTACCAGTAACAAACATATCCACATTCATCCGTTTGCCGAAAACAATATCCATAGCAGCATTTTTTTTTTTCAAACAGCATAGGGAAAAGTGTTTGATCATTTTACACTGAAATTGAAAAAAAGAAAAAGAGGGTTACCCAGAGGAGAAGATCACTTTTTTTTGCCTCCCTTGGAAACCCCCTTGCGTCTAGAGGGGATAACAATCTCTCCTTTGAGGACAGGAATCTCCATAATCTGCGTGAGCTCCCCGAACTTCTTCCTGAATTTCTCCACCTGGTCGTCGCTCACCATAACCGCTGAGCGGTTGCCGAGGTAGAAGGGGTGGTTCCCCGACCACACATCCACCACATACTCCTTCTGGGTCCCACCCGTCGTCATCACCAGCTCCCCGTTACAGTACACCTTCGCCTCCTGGTGGAACTGCGGGTGTATTTCCTTCTTCCTGCACCGCACCCCACACTGCACCACTCTCCCTACCTGCCAACAAATTCAAACAATAACTCCGTCAAAATTTATGATTCCACACTCAAAATACGCGGTACCTGTGAGTTTCGAATTGTGGTGAATGAAATGACTTACGCTTTTTTTGGGAGTTGAAAGTGGAAGGAAGGGTGTTCCTCGGAGGAATGTGTTGGTCACGCACTGCGCCATTTTCAGGTACCTATCCGTTTGTGAGAAAAAGAAAAAGATGAGATGTTGTTTGCGGACATAGTATATGTGGTGGTCACCAAATGGGCCCTTCCATTCGGTCCAACTAGCCCGTTAAGCGTTAATTATGGAAAATAGAAACAAATCATTTTTATTCAATTTTTTAATACAGTTCTATTCTAATTAAAATAAAATTTGATTTTAATAAACTACATCTAAGTAATTTGAAGGTTTTGCTTCATTTATAATTTACTTAAGTTATGAAATCACAATTATTAAACTACAAAAAAGACTGAAAACTAACATTTTCTTGACAATAACTAATAAGATAAATAAAGAAAATTGTAAAGATGCAAATGAACTCTAGAAGCTTTTGCCATATTTTTCGTTGGTATCATCAAGTCATTTGGCAATATCTTCGCTAACAATCTGATTGGACCATCTCAGCCACCATTTTGCCTTCATATTATTCACCTCACAAAATCCTATATATTTGCCTCCTCAGTGCATTGTTTTACCTGCTTCTCAAGAGTGTGGGGCTTTGTGAGAAAGAGAGTCATGGATGCAACCATTGCAACCCTCAATGCAAGTGGTAATCTAGCTACCAAGGGGTTTGGGACAAAAAACAGAAGTTCTGGCTTCTGGGGTGAGAACACAAGGGGAAGTCTTAACGTAAGATTTTTCAGTACTCAACCAGGCAAGAGTTTTAAGGCTAGAAGTTTCAAGCCTGGCAATGCATACGCTGTTTACACACCAGATCTCAACAAAGATTCTAGGGTAATAACTACATGCAAACACTTTTCTGACGTGTGTGAATGTCTTTATCCCTCTCTTTATACACATAGGAAACATCAACTGAAACCCTTCTAATTCTCAGAATTAGAACTACAGATATTGGATCTTAAGTGACCAAGATTATGCAAAAAATATTCACAGTACATGCAGTAGCATGAAAATATTAACCAACTTTTATTCTTGGTTTCAATGTAGCGTTATATGACATAATTTAATAGTTTTTGTTTACCATAATAATAATAATAATAAATCGTGATTCACTGCTTACATATACATAAAGAGAAACTAAGATCATTGTTGTGCGCTTATGTGTATGATTTTTGTCATTTGAGGGACATGTTGGTACATGAGATATTTTTTTGTTACTGTTGCTTGGTTTGATGATACTTTAGGATTCTAAATTGTAATGCTGACTTTGGATTTTGGTTTAAGGTACTTCAAATACCCATTACTCAGAGTCCAAAAGCAAACCCTGAAAATGTAGCTGCCATCATATTGGGTGGAGGTGCTGGAACTCGACTCTTTCCTCTTACCAGCATAAGAGCCAAACCCGCTGTACGGTTTTCTATTTACATAATTTTCTTCAGAGTTTTGAACTGATTGCTATAAATGGTAGGAGTGAATTTGTTTTGAATTTTGAGACACAGATGAATGCACTACGTAAAAGATTTTCCTTCATGCAGTTGCAGGATTTCTGAATTATTTATTTGTTTATTTCTGAATGTGATGAAATATATGTGGACAGTTATTATTTATCTCATCATGGTTGCAGGTTACCATTGGAGGGTGTTACAGACTCATAGATATTCCTATGAGTAATTGCATCAACAGTGGCATCAGGAAAGTTTACGTTTTAACTCAGTTCAACTCTTTCTCTCTTAATGGCCACCTGTCTCGCACGTATAATTTTGAAAATGGAGTGAACTTTGGAGGAGGTTTTGTGGAGGTAAGTTGTTTGCAGTATTTCAATAAGAGTGAGATTTACTATATTTTAGGAAATAGATTCTACAAACAAGTTGGAAGAAATTTACTAGTGAGGCTATGTTACTGATCAAAGTTGGAATAATTTAAACAGGTCTTGGCTGCTACTCAAACTCCTGGAGAATCTGGGAGCAAATGGTTCCAAGGGACAGCTGATGCAGTGAGGCGATTTATTTGGGTTTTTGAGGTAGTTATTTTGTATGCTAAAAACAACTATGCTAAATTACCGGTTTAATAACCATAAATGAATATGTCTGGATAATTATAATGCAGGATGCCAAGAACAAGAATATTGAACAAATAATAATCATTTCTGGTGACCATCTTTGCCGAATGGACTATATGAAGCTTGTGGAGGTACATCTAAAAATTCTCGGCTAAGATTACATTATATATTATTTACGAGGACTGTGCTTGCAGAAACATGTTGGAAACAATGCTGATGTCACAGTTTCATGTGTACCCATGGATGAACGGTATGTATGTGTGTGTGTGTGTGTGTATATATATATATATATATGTAAAAGAGAAAATAGTATATCTATTAATAATAGAGGGAATTTTTACACTGTCAATCAGAAATTGTTAATAGTTATTTTAGAAGTTATATCTAACATGATTTTTGACTGGTGGATGGTTTGAAAACTTTTACATTGACAATGGATAGAAATTAATCTCCATGGAAAATCTGTGAAGTTTGGTTTGATTACAAAACAATTAAAGGCAAACCAACTTATTTACTTGCTAAAAGAAAAATGTCTTTCACAAACAATAAACATATTTAGTTATATATTGCTGTTGGAGTTGACCAATGTTAGCTATCTTGCAGCCGTGCATCAGAGTATGGGCTGATGAAAATTGATAGAAAGGGTCGGATTACGCAGTTTTTAGAAAACCCAAATGAATCAGATGTGAACGCAATGGTACATTAGTTGTCCCTTAACTCACATTTCACACCCTTATACTCAATAAAATATGAATTGTTCAACGCTAATTAAGTGTCACCTTTAATAACTGCAGCGTGTTGATACCAGTATCTTAGGCTTAAGTGCAGAAGAAGCAGAGAAATATCCTTTCATTTCTCCCATGGGTGTTTCTGTATTCAGAACTGAGACCCTGCTGAAACTGCTAAGGTTGACCTGTCCTTCTGGCAATGACTTGGGATCTGAAATTATACCATCTTCTTTGAGGGACCACAAAGTCCAAGTGCGAGCGAATCCAAGCCATGGAATTGAATGCTATTTTGCTAATGCAATAAAATTCTTTTCATTTCTTGATGCTTTTTGTTTCTATTTGTATTTTCAGGCATATATGTTCAGGGACTATTGGAAGGATATTGGAACTATCAAGTCCTTCTATGAAGCTAATCTAGAACTAACAGAACAGGTTTGTATCCTCTATGTTTAATACATAATTTGAAACTTTGTTTCAACCAATTTGGATTGTTTAGTGCAACTAATTAGCCAGGAATGAAGCTTAATCATAATTCAATTTAAAAACATTAGAATCTTTCACTGTTTAGAAGACTTGAAGCAGTATAGAGTCAAGTTTGTGTTGCTAATCTTGATAACAATGGACTTGATAATATTTGAAGAAAACAACGCTATTATTACATATTTTCCATGAGGAACAGTCTAGTACGTTTACTGATCACATTCTTTATTCTTTGTAGTCTCCAAAATTTGAATTGTATGACCAGGAGGCGCCTTTTTACACTTCCCCGAGATTCCTACCACCCACTAAAGTAATAAAATGCAAGGTAAGAGTAAAAGTTTTACTGGCTTGCTTTTCTTATGTTCTTACCCCGAATGAATATTTGAGCTTGGCTTTTGCAGATTGTGGACTCAGTTATTTCTCATGGTTGCTTCTTGAGTGAGTGTAGAATTCAACATTCTGTTGTTGGTGTGCGCTCTCGTTTAGAGGCTGGTTCAGAGCTTCTGGTAAGCTTGATACGTTTTGTACTTTTCTCTACATTATGAATTATTATACTACCTAAAATTGAAAATGTGTTGGGTAGGAGGAAGTGCTTTTTGCAATTCTTTAGCCATAGCCTAAAAATTTCAAGAGTTTAGTACCATTTTACCCCTCTCAATTAACACTCTGGCTACTGCTTTTGCCTAATTGAAATTGCAGAATTTGATTAGTACAATTATATTTAAACGCTAATGGATTATATATATAGCATAACATTTAGTAAGTAATGGGGCTGATGTGATGCTTGTACTTATGGACCTTGCTATGCAGGATACCATGATGATGGGTGCTGACTTATATCAAACTGATTCTGAAATTGCAACTCTGCTGGCAGAAGGAAAGGTTCCAATTGGTGTAGGAGAAAATACCAAAATCAGGTGCCATGATGTCACTTAATGAAACCTTCCTTAGTCATATAGAACAAAATAACGCAAGTTATACTCATAATTACATGTCACAAGTTATGACTTCTATTGGGAAAATAACATAAACTTGATTAAACCTTTGGAATAGTTGGTTCATTACATAATTTAGACGAAATGGTCTAGAGTTTGATCCTTGACTTACTCTAATTTATGCTGATTTCCAACTCCAAGGAATTGCATAATTGACAAGAATGCCAAGATAGGAAGAAATGTGATTATTGCCAATGCTGATGTAAGTGCTACTTCAAAACTTGACTACGGAAATATGGCATTTCATTATCCAACATTTGTTTCCTGATTTAGTTGCGACGATTCACAGGGTGTTCAAGAAGCAGACAGACCTAAAGAGGGATTCTACATTAGGTCTGGCATCGTAGTTATAGTGAAGAATGCAACAATTGAAGATGGAACAGTGATCTGAAGGAGTTGAAGGAGTTGGTGGCAGAAAGGACAGTAGATTGCTCCATTGTATAGTACAAGTTACGTAGGAACTCTTAGTTTCCGGATAAAAAAATTCTGTTGCTTTGTTTCAGTCAGAGATTCTTTTGTATGCTCATGTTACTATCTCCCTTCCTAAACTCGAGATTTGAAGTTATTGCATAATGCTTAAGAAGCACATAACATTTTTGACAAATGATATGCACCTTTTTGGTCAATGTTACTGTTAGTAAGATGGTAAGCATATTTGAGTTAGTTAATTGCTTTAGATGTTATTTGGATATAAATAGGGTAAGAAGGATATGAGAAGAGAGTTCATATTTTTATAAATTGAGCATTAGCTCATTATCAAAGGAGAAATCCTTTGTAAAGGGAAAACCCTTAGAGGAGAGAGTGTCCCTCCTATTGCTTGTTCTTTTCATTCTATTTAATAAAAACAGTTTCTTTTCTTTTTCTGTTCAATCCTTGGTTCTAACAGTAAAATATGATATATTGCATATCCATATCTAATTAGAAATATGATAAAATAAGAAGTTTCTCAAATTTTAACTTAAAACCTGATAAACATAGAATATAAGATTACAAATACCGTATCATGCCATGATTCTACATGATTAATTTTTTCCATATTTAGCTTGGCATGACAGCGATGCACAGTGATGCACATTAATGTCATATCTGTTAATAGACAAATTTAGGATACCGACTGTAATGGTTAGCGTAATTATAGCCTAGAATGTTTACGTATTTCATGTATATATTGTGCTATCATATTCAATACAAGACAGGGGTTTTTGGAAATATTTTTATCATGGTATCGAAGCGAACCAAACTCGATATCCAACGGCCCGAGAACACAGTCGTACTTCTAAAATGGCAGAGAGAGGAGAGGCGGTGAAGAAAACACCATCGCCATACGATCCGAGTGCCGGTGATAATCCTGGAAATGTGATTACACAGGTACAATTACGAGGAGAGAATTACGAGGAATGGGCAAGGGCCGTGAAGATATCTCTGCGGGCTCGAAGGAAATGGGGTTTCATAGATGGAACTCATAAGGAACCTGAAGAAGACACATCTGAGATAGAAGATTGGTGGACAATTCAATCGATGCTTGTATCTTGGATACTAAACACTATAGAACCTAGTTTGCGTTCCACTGTTGCATACATGGAAAACGCAAAGGACCTATGGGATGACATCAAGGAACGATTCTCGATCGTGAACGGACCAAGAATCCAGCGGCTAAAGTCGAGTTGGCGAGAATGCAAACAACAAGGAATGACTATGGTTTCCTATTATGGGAAGTTGAAAACGTTGTGGGATGAACTGGCAAATTACGAGCAAATCCCACAGTGTAGATGTGGGGGATGCAAGTGTAATATTATGACGCAACTTGAGAAACGAAGAGAAGAAGAAAAAATTCATCAGTTCTTGATGGGGCTAGATGATGAGGGCTATGGAACTGCACGGTCAAATGTTTTGGCAACAGATCCATTACCCTCGTTGAATCGGGTGTATGGCACCATGGTGCAAGAAGAAAGGGTGAGAACAATCACCAGGTCTAAAGAAGAGCGAGGAATGATCGTGGGAATGGCTATGCGAGCGGAAACCAGGAACAAGTTGCGCAATGAAGCGAAAGAAAAATCGGTTGTTTGCATGCAGTGTGGAAGGAAGGGACATGACAAAGGCAATTGCTTCAAGATCATTGGTTACCCGAGAATGGTGGGGAGAGAGACCACGAACCGATAGAAACGATGAAAAAAATCAACAAAGAACAGGAACCTTCCGAGGAAAAGGAGGAACGGCTCGCGTCAATATGGCGCACACTGGTGCAGATAACGTTGGTTCAACCGAAAAACCAGAAGTCGCAGGACTGAGTAATGAGCAATGGCAGATCTTGACAGCAATGTTGAATTCTCGCAAGGCAAATGAAACTGAAAAGATGACTGGTAAGAAAGCATGTGACTTGTGGATTATTGATAGTGGCGCCTCTAATCATATGACAGGAACACTAGAAAACTTGAGGGAGAGTCGAGCCTTGGAAGGGTGCCCAGTGGGACTACCAAATGGTGAATTGGTGCTGGCAAACAAAGAAGGATCGGTTTTCCTTGATGGAGGACTGAAACTTAAACATGTTCTATATGTTCCGAAATTGAATTGCAATTTGATTTCAGTATCACAATTGACGAATGAAGTAAAATGTACAGTACATTTTACTGATAGATTTTGTGCAATGCAGGACCACACTTCGAGGATGCTGATTGGAGCGGGTGAACGAAAAGAGGGACTCTATTGGTATCGTGGTGTGAGTGGCATAAAGGCGTATCAGACCAATGCAGAAAATCAACTAGAGATTTGGCACAAGCGAATGGAACATCCTGCCTACCAGATTGTTAGAAATATTCCGCATCTGAACAGCGTGAATAGAAATACGGATACAACTCGTGTGTGTGAAGTGTGTGAGAGATCAAAGCAATGCAGAAACACATTTCCTTTAAGTGATTTTCAAGCATCCAATATATTTGATTTAATACATTGTGATTTATGGGGTCCATATAGAACTCCCTCGTCTTGTGGTGCATCTTACTTTCTCACTTTGGTTGATGACTGTTCTCGAGCTGTGTGGATATATCTCTTGAATAATAAGAAAGATGTGTCACAAACCTTAATGCATTTCATCGCATTAATAGAACGACAATACGAGAAACAAGTCAAAATATTACGAAGTGACAATGGAACTGAGTTTATGTGTCTTCAACGATATTTTCAGCAACATGGGATACTCCATCAAACCTCATGCACTGGATCACCTCAGCAAAATGGGAGAGCCGAACGAAAACATCGACACATCCTAAATGTAGCTCGTGCTCTACGATTTCAGGGAGAACTTCCACTTCAATTCTGGGGAGAATGCATTTTGACCGCAGGATACTTGATCAATCGTACACCCTCAACCGTTCTCCATGGAAAAACTCCATATGAAATATTGAATGGGAAGCCACCCACTTATGACCATCTACGGGTATTTGGATGCTTGTGTTATGCACATAACCAAGATAGGAAAAGTGACAAATTTGCAAGTAGAAGTCGCAAGAATGTATTTGTTGGATATTCAATCGAAAAAAGGGCTTGGAAATTGTTTGATCTGGAAGAGAAGTCTTCCGGACTTCGAGAGATGTTAAGTTTGTAGAACATGAATTCTCGTTTGCCTCTCTTGCCCACAGTAGACATTCGAGAGGTAGGATTGCCTACTCGTTGATGTTGGCATTGTCGAGGAAGCATTGCCTGGACTTGGTGCAATGAACAATGCAGAACACGTTGTGGAGACTGATGACGTTAACCCCACAACAGAAGATGTGCCCACAACCGAGTTCGGGGAGGGCCACGCCGAATGCCATGAACAAGAGCCTCCCACCCGAGATCATTCTCCCACCAGAACAAACCGACTCTATGATGACAGAACTAGAGGTTCTCGAGGAGCATACTGTCCCTGCATCCCCGGGGAAAGGTCTTCGTGTACGAAAGCCATCCGTGAAGCTTCGTGATTATGTCACTAACACCACTTTACAACTCGGTCCCTCAATTCGCACTCCACATTCAGCTTCCTCGGGTATGCCTTACAGTTTGACAAAGTACTTAAATTGTGCTAAATTCTCCTTCCCCCACCGAACCTTTCTTGCAGCCCTTCATGCGAGAGAGAACCTGTGCATTTCTTTGAAGTTGTTCGGGATGTTAGATGGAGAGATGCCATGGCTAGTGAAATTCAGGCCCTCCAAAGTAATGAAACATGGGACATTACTCCTCTACCGGCAGGGAAGAAGCCTCCGGGTTGCAAGTGGATTTATAAAATCAAATATCATTCGATGGGAGCGTTGAACGCTTCAAAGCCCGATTAGTTGTCTTGGGAAATCACCAAGTTGAGGGGATTGACTATGACGAGACCTTTGCCCAGTGGCAAAGATGGTCACCATTCGGACAGGTGTTGGTAGTGGCAGTAGCCAAAGACTGGGAACTCCATCAAATGGATGTCCATAATGCTTTTCTCGCACGGCGATCTTGAGGAAGATGTGTACATGAAAATGCCGCCGGGGTTCTTGGTGTCTCAAAAGGGTATGGTGTGTCGTCTCCGCAAGTCCCTTTATGGTCTTCGTCAAGCTCCTCGGTGTTGGTTTGCCAAGCTCTCAACTGCTCTTGTTCAATATGGGTTTCAACGTTCTTCGTCTGATCACTCCTTGTTCATCTTTCGCAAAGGAGATGTCGAACTGGTTGTGTTAGTTTACGTGGATGACCTAGTCATTGCTGGCAATCATCATGAAAACATTGCGCAATTCAAAGATTATCTTCATCAATGTTTTCGTATGAAGGACTTAGGGAAATTAAAATACTTTCTTGGGGTGGAGGTTGTCAGATCTCCTACAAGAATTTTCTTGTGTCAACGGAAGTATGCGTTGGACATCATAGCTGAAGCAGGATTGCTTGGAGGGAAACCTGTGTCCACGCCAATCGAAGAAAATCATCGTTTAGCATTGGCTGATGGCGAACTACTTTCTGAACCGAGTCAATATCGACGTCTCGTCGGTCGCCTTATTTACTTGTGTTTTACACGACTCGAATTATCTTACGGTGTTCATGTCCTATCTCAATTCATGCACCAACCGCGTCGGGAGCATTGGCGGGCTGCACTCCGCGTGGTACGCTATTTAAAGGGCAGCCGGGTCAAGGTGTGCTTTTAAAAAGAGAGAGTGACCTTCGTCTTTATGGTTGGTGTGACTCGAACTGGGCAAGTTGTCCTCTCACTCGAAGATCTCTCACCGGTTGGTTTATTTTCCTTGGTCAATCCCCCGTTTCCTGGAAAACCAAGAAGCAACATACGGTTTCTCGATCATCCGCTGAGGCAGAATATCGTTCTATGGCCAACACGACATGTGAGTTGAAATGGCTTCAAGGCCTTCTTTCGAGCCTAGGCATTACTCACACCGACCCTATGACTCTCTACTCGTGACAACCAAGCTGCCCTTCACATTGCCAAGAATCCTGTGTTTCATGAACGGACAAAACATATTGAAGTGGATTGTCATCTTATTCGTGATGAAATACAACACAATCATATCCAACCCTCCTATGTGTCCACTCATCATCAACTGGCTGATCTCTTCACCAAATCTCTTGGCGCCACTAAATTTGGTTCTTTTTTAGGCAAGTTGGGCATTCATAACCTTCATACTCCATCTTGAGGGAGGGTGATAAACATAGAATATAAGATTACAAATACCGTATCATGCCATGATTCTACATGATTAATTTTTTCCATATTTAGCTTGGCATGACAGCGATGCACAGTGATGCACATTAATGTCATATCTGTTAATAGACAAATTTAGGATACCGACTGTAATGGTTAGCGTAATTATAGCCTAGAATGTTTCTGTATTTCATGTATATATTGTGCTATCATATTCAATACAAGGCAGGGGTTTTTGGAAATATTTTTATCAAAACCAAATTTAATTATTTTAAGTTCAACTTTTGATATAATATAATTGATTATTACAGTAAACTTCTCCAATTTGACAGACATTTATGGAGAAAGGGGGCTAGGAAGTTCCACATCATTTGGTTTAATTCTTGGAGTTCCTAAAGTGTTGATAGCTATTTTTATTTTATGTTTTGTTTGTGTAATAACTATTTCCTTCATGTACAATTGTACATAGACTTAGCTCTCTGTATATTCTAAGCTCTAAACATTTTCAATTTACGAGCCTTTCATTTCTTTTATAACTCACTCTCTTCAACACGTGTGTAAGGGAATTTTATCTGACATGGACATTTCATGCACAAGTAATGTATAAGATTAATAGGCATTTTATTGTTAACTCATCTTGTGGAGGGTATAACACGTTCGTATCTCCATTCACAAATAATATTACAGAGTCTTCAAGATTTGTCTGAGTCTTTAACTTCCCTAGCTTTATTCCACTGCTTGGAATTCTTAACTCTGAAGGATTTCTTCATCCTGATTCTGTTTAGCTTTTGAGACTCTTGAGCAATCAAATTAGCAGTTGAGCAAGTATCATCTAAGGGCACTTCATAGCCATCTCTAAAAGAATCCATCCCTTCTGCTAGAAGTTGCCAAAATAAGCCACCAATTGCTGGGCCACTATCACTTGCTGATGAATAGATTGCAGAATACACCAAGTTGAAAAATTGGTCCCTTACTGTTGTTGAGTCAGTGCTCATGTTTTTTGTTGCTACCCCGAACTCAGCAAAGAGAACTGGCTTCTGAATACTCTCTGCATCTTTTATGTGGTCGTTCAGCCAACGAACCAAAAATAAGATTTGCTCTTCATTGCTTGATCCTGGTAACCTGCTCATAACCTTGCCCAATTCAGCATTATCATGAAAAATAAGAATCTAACTTAATTTCAACACTAAAAAGAGTTATTATTAGTAAGATTTTTGTAACATTATTATAAATATTAATAATTTTACAGAGCATGATGGTTTCTAATTGAATGATATGGTAGAAATCAAATTCATTTTTGGGGGAATTTGGACTTTTTTTCATCTACTGACAGAGTTTGTTATTGAATGATACTGTATAAACCTTTTTGGTAGCATACACCATTTACTCGATTAAGAATTCTAGCAAGATATTTATAAATGGAGTGTATCTAAATGCATTTTTTCTTGTGTTATTATTTGATATCATTGAGGTTTTATCAAGAATGGAAGTAAAATTGCACACCATTGATCAGGGTATGAATGAACTGTGGCAAAATCAATGCCAGGGATTTGGTTGTTTGCAATGAAATCTGTTCCAACATGGAAATTTGGATTAGAGTCTTGCTTGGACACCCCATAGAAGCCCTCCAGACCAGCTTCTAGTAAATGGTTTCCATCTATGGATTTCAAGTAAGATGCCATTTCAGTAATCCAAGCCTGTCAAAAGGGGCAAATATCTCTTAAATGTTTGAAAACAAAACCATATATCAAAAAAACTGAAAGCCCATTGAATTTTTGGGTATTAATAGAAGCCCATTGTATTATTTTTTTCATAAATAATTATAAAAAAGCCCATTGAATTTTTGGGTTTTAATAGAATTTTTCTTGCTTTCAAATACTAGTCTATTGTATTTATTGATAATGTATAAAGTTTTTATTTTGTCATCTAATCATATAAGGTGACATTTAATATGTTTGGTTCTGTTAACAATAATCATCTTAAAATTATATTTACCCTAATTTCGTATTAATTGATAATATAGAGCTTTTTGTTCTTTAACTAGAAGTTAAAGCTTTCAAATATTAGTTTAAAAAAACTGATATATCAAAAAATTTAAAACAAAAATATAGAAAATATGAAGAATTTTTTTATTTAATTTTTTTCTCTGTATTTTTATTAAAACGCATCCAAATAGTTGTTGCATGTCAAAAGACAACTCCCAGTTTCATTTTCTAATTTCTCCACCCTTTTATTCTTGGTAGATTATATTTGGCCTTAAACTTTAGAAAATACTTTTGTGAATTTCAGTATACAGTAACAATATTTTAATGCATCCGACAAAGAAAGAAAAAATAATTAAATAAAAATTCCAACTTCATTAAAGGAAAGGATCTCAAAGATTTAGGCAGGTGCATAGAAATGAACATAAAAATATACTTTCCCATACTCAAATATCAATAAGAATATATATATATATATATATATATATATATATATATATATATATATATATATATATTTTAACTAACATCACCTCATGGAATGAAATTATCTTCAAAATAATTTTTGTTTCATTTTAGAATTTATTTTCAATTGTTCATTAATTCTCATAATATTAACCACACATGGTCTTGAAAATGACAACAAACAAGGATTGTCATTTGAGACAAGTTCTCGTAAAATTGAAGACTTCCATCAATTAGTCTAAATGGTATTTTCAGAGAATCCCAATTATTATTTATTTATTTAAATTCAAATGAAAATGAAGCGTAATTGAAGAACAAAACAGAATAATAATTACCTGAACCGTGTTTCCTGATTCATCAGAAGGGCATCTAATTTCATTCATGAGTTCCCAAGCCATTATGGTTGGATCATCTTTGTAAACCACTCCCGTGAAGTTGTTACGTCTTGTGAGCACACTCTATCATACATACAAGTATAAAACTACACTGTTATATGTCTTTTTCACTTGAAAAACGTTGGTACAAATCATGTCACGAGAAGAAAGTAGCTGAGACAGTAACTAGTCATACTGAAATTTTCTTCATACAGTGTTTCGTCACTTGTACATAAATGCACTTTATATGGTTGGAAATTAAGATGGTTGAAAATTACTAGTGTGTATGAGTAGCAAGTAGCAACATTCTTTAATACAAGTCTACACCTCTATAGTACGGTTCATTAATTCTTGGTAGCTTTTAGCTACTAGGTAGCCAACATTTATGCTCATACCAGTTCAACTACAAAAGCTGGTGATGATGGTAAACTTTTTTTTAAATTATTATTAGAATTCTTTTTTTTTTCTTATCTTATTTTATTCATATTGATAAATTAGTACTAAGAAAAAGAAAATAAGAGGGTACTAATGAAACGTTTAATTACCTTGATATGGTTTTTGTAGAATCCCTTGACAACAGTGTTTGTGAAGAAACCATCCTCAGATTCTATGGACTGGCCCTCACTCTTTGCCCACTCCACATACTGTTTCTTTCCTCCAAAGTTATCATAGTTATTCACCAAACACAACACCAACTTGGTCCCATACCTTCTGGCTTCTGATATTACAAAGTCCAGCCCCTTCATTATCAATATTACACAAAGCCAAAATATAATTATTACTGCTGCAAAAAGAACTTTACACCAATCATAGCAAGCATGCATTTAGCAGAAGAAAAAAATTAATGTTAACCTTTTAAAATTTTAATGCATGATAAAAATTGAGAGAAAACTAGTTGTACACTGTCTGTCATATACGTGAAATTTGTTCAATTTTATAATATCTGTCTTAAATTTGTTAGTTTTTTTAATAATAATTGTCTTGAAAATATAATGATGATATGACTACAAAAGTATTGTACACTTATGTACATTGATCATTGAATTCTTTAAGAAAAACATGATAATTAAACAACTAATTAAAATCAGGCAAAACCATCTTTACTGTAATTCAATATGACATCCTTAAAAGAACTCAAGATCATTGAGATTGCAAAATGGAGATGAAAACTGACCAGGAACATGTCCTCGTTGTAGGATCCAGGAGAGTATTGAAGGGGCTTATATCCACCATCACTGAAAGCCCATGTTCTAGCTATGTTAAGTCCATGGTTTGCAGCTGTTTGAAGCACAGATGAGACCTTGTTTCTCTGAGATGGATCAGAGGCCATGTACATCAGCCAATAGGCATTATAACCATTAGCATAGTAGGGTCTCCCATTCAACATAAGCTGCACTCCTCTTACTTTCACAAACTCATCATCATGATCATCAGCTTCTACTTGGGGTAACAAGAAGATCCCAGGTTCAAGAATCAGGTAGAGAACTAGGAAGAACAGAAAGAAACCAAGCTTCATTATTCTGCTTTCAAACCTCCACTCTCTCTGCTTGTTGGTGCCTAGTAGAGCTAGGAATGTTACTTCTCAATTTGCAGTAGTTAAGCCAGTCCCACATCACCCTGCATATACTAGAAAGAAAACTTGAACTTTCTGTCAAGTAAACCTAATTTCAACATTTTAATGACTATCAGATTTTATCATATTTAATATTTATAATTTTATTTAATGAAGAATTGAATGGCCGGCGTCAATGCTTAGTAATAAGTAATAATTTTGTGTTTATTATATAACTTTAATTTAAATTAATTATTATAATCAAAATTAAATATTAACTTATTAATTAAGTGTATCTCTATTTATATACCTTATTTTTAATTAAATTTATTTAAATCTTAAATATATTATATATGAAATAATATTAATGATAATAATTTATGTCTAATTATCTGGCAAAAGGAATTTAAACCCTTTTACTGATGATGAAAATATTGATAGTCGCAACATATAATTGAATTTAATGCTTGAGATTTTATTTGATGAAAAAAAAACTAAACGGTTGAAGTAGAATATAACTTTAATAATTAATGCTAATTTGATAATTTAATATTAAGTAATAATTTTTGTTATGGCATGATTTTATTGTAATTAATAAATAAAACATCTAAGTTTTTAATTACTTTTTTTCATTTCAAAATCTGTTACTGATTATTTTTGTGATAATTTTTTTCTCGTTAAATCTAATTCTAACAAATGTATTTTAAGAAACCTTTTATATTTGACTAATTTTCAATTTAAATTTCAATTTTTGACTATTCGAATTTTGGTTGTCCCCACGTGAATGAAAATATGGTTGATTTGTTCTCAACGGAAATCTTCCAGCATAGATCCAACGTTATCGTCACTACATACTGCACAATAATATTTGAGACTCAAGTCAATCTATAATTTAAGTTATTTTGCATTATGACTAAAGTAATTTATTTATAAGATAAAATAAAAAATAGATAAGGGATACTAAAATTAATTTTTGCTAAGAAATTTAATAATATTATATCTGACCATAAATTTCTTTGTTTTTAGTTTTAGTTTGTAGTCTGATTGTAGTTTGTAGTTAATTATTTTTGTTGGTTATTTTTTTTTATATTATTGTATAATTTTATATAAGTTTTTCACTTTTTCTATGAAAAAATACAAGGTTTTTTTTTTCATTCAATATTGTTTTTCTTTGTTTAATATAATGAGAATTTTTTTCCAAATTCAAATATTAAGATAGTATCGTACCTCTATTATAGAACTTTGTACTTCTTCTTTTTTTATTCCTCTTGTCATGACTATGACCATGACAATATCAAAATAAAATAATATGCATCTTTTAGTTTTGATTTCTCCACTATTAGATGATAAACCATGTTTCGGTTCGGATTATAATACTTACGTTCAAATCAAAGGAAAAAAAATTAAAATTGGTATATTAAAGCTTGCAAGAACCTGTACAAAATTATCCTTTTTATGAGCTTTGGAATGGTTGTAACACTATGATCCTCTCATAGCTTCAACATCCCGTGCATGAATCAATTCTCATATCAATATATTAGATAGAGAGAGCTTTAAATGTATAGAAAGATCTTCATAAGGATGTTATTAGGGAAACTATTTAAGAGTTATAAACCTACAAGAAGAATTATATAATTTGAATCAAGGTACTCTTTTAGTTTCAGAATTTTATAGAGTTAAGAACAATTTGGAAAGAAATTGATAATTTCAAGCCTATTATTGACTACAAGTATTCCATTACTTGTTCTTGTGGTACGGGTGAATATGTTAGAAAATATAAAAAGCAAGATTATGTGATTTATTTTCTTACAAGATTAACTTAACAATGTGTTCAAGTGAGATCTTAGATTATGTTGATATATTACTAAAGTTTTTAATATGGTAATTTAATAAGAAAGACAATTGAATACAATTCTTGCTTCTTTTGATTATGTTTTTTATCTCAAAGTATTACTTGTCACAACTCATTAAAATTTACAATCTAAGAAAGGTGGAAATTTTAATGTTAGAAATTAATATGAAAGAGGAGGAGATGGTTACTCCAACAAAAGTAGAGGAAGAAATTATGGAGGAAGAAGCAAACTAGGAAAATGATTCTTTGACAACCGAAAACAAACAGTTGTTAGACAACCGGGGCTAAAAAGAAATTAATTAAAAATAAGGGTTTGATTAGTAAAATTGTATGGGTTCAGATATGTAATATTGTAAAAATGGGGGATGTTATAGAAGAATTGAAGGGGTCGTTCTTCCTGGCTTCCAGGCTCCCGCCTTTCCATGAGTTTGTAGAGCAAAGACGGGGCCGAGTAAAATCGATACACAGCTGCGTCACACCAAGGGCATAGACGAGAGCAGAGTAAGCGCCCAAGCAGCCAACAGCATAAAAAGTTTTCGCTCCTTTCGTTTGGTTTCCCAGTAGTAGTCCCCGCCAAGAGTGAATAAGAAAGCTCTTGGCGCCTTTGTACGAGCTCATATGAGTAAAAGTAACTCAAGGGTACACTTTGCTCCTTCCAGGATTTGCAGGAGTTTACTTTCAATTGGTAAAGGTTCAACTGTCACCGTCGCTCAAGCGATTACATAGTCGCTCGAGCGCGAGGCGACCTTAGATAGCGGTTGGCAAAATAACCGCTATAATAAATGTAGTTCAGATAGCGGTTGGGCAAATAACCGCTATCTAAAGTCATAATGTATAGTTCAGATAGCGGTTGACCAATTAACCGCTATCTAAAGTCATATATACATAACTAATCGATTATAATTGGGTAATAATCGATCATAATGCATAGTTCAGATAGCGGTTGGCCAAATAACCGCTATCTAAAGTCATATATAAAACTGATCGATTATAATTGGGTAATAATCGATCATAATGCATAGCTCAGATAGCGGTTGGCCAAATAACCGCTATCTTAAGTCATATATATCAATCTGATCGATTATAATTGGATAATAATCGATCATAATGTATAGTTCAGATAGCGGTTAGGCAAATAACCGCTATCTAAATGTTAGAAAAAGGGTTTTATTACATTGATTTTCGCTTTTCACATTCGCGCTCTTCGTCGCTCGACTTCTTCTCCCTCTACTTAGGGTAAAATTTCTCCATCTCGCTCTTGACGGCGCTCGACTTCCTGTCGCTTGGCTTCGTCCGTGTCGTTGGAGCTGAACATCACTGTGTGTTGCTTGAGCGACCCTGCGGTGGTGAGTGTTCGTTTAACAACATTTGCTTGATTTTGTGTGTATTTTTGATTGGGTTTCCATTGTTGTTTTCTTTTCTGTTTATCTTTGATTGGGTTTGTAATGAAGGTGTTTTTCACGGTTTAGGGTTTATTGAGTTGTGATGCTATATTAATGTCGAACAAGTGTTTGATGAAATGCTATAATGAAGAATTGTATTTGCGCATTGTTGCTTTGTTTTCTGTTTATCTTTGATTGGGTTTGTAATGAAAGTATTCTGTAGGGTTTAGGGTTAATTGAGTTGTGATGCTATATTAATGTCCAACAAGTGTTTGATGAAATGCTACAATGAAGAATTGTATTTGCATGACAAACATTTTGTATAATATACACAAGATTTACACCCACGTTTGCATAATTCACAATTTGACCAAAAGTATGTGTAACATGGTTGGACTTAATTTTTTTGTTAGTACTATTTTGTGATTGTAAGTTACAATTTTAATAATTTGTAACGAGGATTAGGTTGGGAAAAAATGTCCGCAAAAAGAGACCGTCTTGACGAGAAAAAGGTATGTGCATGTTAATTATAGTTTTTTGATGAAAAGTGATTTACTAAATATTCAATTTGTTATATGTTATGTATGTTATATATGTTATACATGTTATATGTGCAGATAAGATTAAGACACAAGATTGAGACGAGTATATAGGCGATATAAATTCAAAGTTGACCAAACACCAACGAGCAACTATTGAACAAACTCCGTTTAAATGGCTTCTTCAAATAAAAGAGCCATTGCAAATATCAAGCAATATTATAAGAGAACTAGTTAGTCGATGGTCGAGTTAGTGATCATTGTTTTAGAATAAAACAATATCTTGTCCCATTCACCCCTTTAGATGTTTGTTTTTCGTTAGGTTTACGTATAAGGGGGGAGGTAGTTGTTTTAGAAGATAGTGGTTCATGTTTAGTAAAAGATTTATTCGACGAAGAGGAACCAATAACGAGTAACAAATATAGTTAGGAAGTCTGTAAGGGAAAAAAATTAAGCATGTTAAATATGTAGTTGTCTTTTGTAGGCTTTATATCCTACTTGGGTGGGCGGTTTTTTACTTTCCTCGCACATCCCGCACTGTTCATAGTGTTCCTTTTAGTTTATTAGATGATTTAGAGGCATTAGATAATTATAATTGGGGAAATGTTGTGCACGGTTTATTAGTTAATAGTTTGCATCGTGCTAGTAGAAAGTTAAACGAGGAAAAAAATGCTTCTCAATTGTACGTTGCTGGTTGTGTGGCTGTCTTACAGGTAACTTTCTTACAAATGATTGATTTATTAGTTGATATGAAATTATTGTGACTGAATTGATTTATTAAAGTCATTGTATTATTGTTTTGTTTTTTATTACTATGAATACAATTTATTATGACATTCTTCATATTGTACAGGAGCAACTTCAGAAATTTCGAGAAGAATATGTATGCAGATGGGTACTTCATCCTGAAAATCTCCATCGACAAGTCATGGTTACTGAATCAGGAGTTAACATCCTCATGTAGGAGTACAAATTTAGATATTGTATTTGATTCTTTGTTCATCTTCATTGATGAATGTTGTACAGTTTAATCATATGTAATATAACTGTTAAGTTGGTTATGGATCATTTAAATGTTAAATATTATGACATTATAAATATTGTCTACAAAGTACATGTAATTGCTACCAGATTTATATGTTACGAACATATGAAATGAGGATGCTCCTTTATAGTATTAACTGTTAAAGGGCATGTTGGATTGGCTGATAAGGGTAGAACTATCCTCATACCACATGCTTGGATGATATATGGAGCATGGCCATCACCCACAAAATGGTCATTAATTTCCATTTGAATTTCTCATGGCAAGATGTTGATATGTAATATAAAAGAAGAAATTCAGATTAAAAGAACAAGGGAAGAGAACAATATAAACTACCATATAGAACTTGTACAAGTGACAAGATTTATTGTAGGAAAGATGTATAGGTTTACGTTGTAAAGAAATTGTACAAGTGACAAGATTCATGCTTAATAGTTGTAAAGAAAGCGTCCAACACAGCTAGCCAAAACGAAACGTTAAACGCAGTTAGCCAAACAATATAACATGGATCACCACATATTAGAAACACTTGTCGCTTGAGTGAGATTACACCCAATGACGAAACGTCAAACGCAGTTAGCCCAATAATTTAAGTTGGTTAACCACATATTAGAATCACTTTTCGCTCAAGCGAGTATAGCGTCGCTTGAGCGAGACAGAACCCGAGAGTCCCCATTGTTTGAAGGAATATTCGCTCAAGCGATAACTTTGTCGCTTGAGCGAGATTACACCCAATGACGAAACGTCAAACGCAGTTAGCCCAATAATTTAAGTTGGTTAACCACATATTGGAATCAATTTTCGCTCAAGCGAGTACAGCGTCGCTTGAGCGAGATAGAACCTGAGAGTCCCCATTGTTTGAAGGAATATTCGCTCAAGCGATAACTTTGTCGCTTGAGCGAGATTACACCCAATGACGAAACGTCAAACGCAGTTAGCCCAATAATTTAAGTTGGTTAACCACATATTGGAATCAATTTTCGCTCAAGCGAGTACAGCGTCGCTTGAGC